ACACAAATTTAATATTCTGAAATTGTTTTCATTAAATCAGGTGCGTAGCCAAGATTATGAAATGGAGAGGGGTTAAGTAAAAATTAAACCAAGATTTTTACAGTTGTCACGCATAAATAATTATTACATTTATTTGGGGAAAAATCAAAATTAATTAAAAATATTACACACAGTGTAAAATAAGAGTTTCCATTTCATGAAATGGATAACAAATATGTCCATTTCATAAATTTAAATTTTACTTGCATGATATATGATCGTATAGTTCAGGAAAAGGATATCCATTTTATGACAAATATATTTACACTATAAGTAGATGCGAGGTATTTATTTATTATACTTGCATATTTTTAAACACGATGACGAGTCATGTGGTATTATACTTTTGCAAATCAGTTATTTAGGTCTTATAATATTATAGTAAAATACATTCATAAGCCTACATTTATTTAAAGGAAAAACAATAAATACATTTACGTATAGATTACGTAGGACGTAGGTAGTAGTGTCCCACTTCTTTAAACATTTAAACGACAGTGTTTCATTTCATGAAATGCCAAAAAATGCTATAAGTTGAACAATGTTATATAAATTAATTAACTCTAAATTTGAAATTTGGTACGAAGTGTTGATCAAACCCAACTAAATGTTCTAAACTTCTAACCTTTAAAAAAGCAATTATTTTGCTAAGAATGCATGCATACCTATATATTCTTATATAGATAATATGATATCACATGAATTATGCAATTTTGAGTGAATTTCTGAGATGACAATTAATGATCATACGGAATGTACCGAGAAAAAATGATACTGTGGGAAATTTCCCGGAATAAGCATGGTCATCAAGAAAAACGAGTGGAAGATAATATTTTTTAATAGATTGTTGAATGTTAATAAGGACCAAAGGATTCGGTGGATTTACAATTGAGGTAATACTTTCTGATTGATCGCAATTTTAATTTTTATTGCCGTCACGCCTTTTATATAAATATTGTTAGTTTTAATTGATAACGAAAACAGCCAAAAACATGAATTATTAGGATTTTAGATTCTTTTTGTGTTGTTTTTACCTAAATTACAGATTTTATGTTCATATACACACAATGAAATAAATAAATCGTTTTTTGTCATATGCCTAATAAAAGACGCCGATGTCTTGCAGGGAGATGATATTTTGCTCCAATTTTATTATTTGTAATTTGTTCCACTAATAGGTACATTTAAGTGCGTATGCAATTTGCGTCAAAATATACAAATATAACATGTATTTTGCTCAACATATACAAATTAATTTTGATAATTTGTGCCACGACAGAAAACGAAATGGAATATGTTATTTGCACCACACTTTCAACTTAAATTGTTGGAATTTACCAGCAGATAAATTTACTGATATCGTATAGGATATACAATTATACTATAATATACGTACAGACGTGTGTCCAATATAATATTGTTGTGTTCTACTGATAAAAGAGACATATCGCCTCTATTATTTAGACGTAATCGATCTCCGATTATGTCTAAATCTAATGAAAATTATCAATGTATTGTTAAGCATGAAATTGAACAATATTGATGTCTCGAATCGTGTTATTTAAAGTTAGTCCGATATAAATCACGCGTTCATGTGATTTTCACATTTTAAAATTATATAAAAGTATAAGTAATGGAAAATAATACAAGTATTGGTGAAATTATTTAAAGTACCAGAGACAAATATTTGTTATTAGTTGCAAATTGTATGTATAGAAAAGTTCATGAATCGAAACATTCTTATATACGATAACTTATTGTCAGAACTTGCACTGCAAAAGTGTATACTTCTTTAGAAAATATTGTACAAAATTTGAAATTGTAAATGAACATAACGGCCATGATCAACCAAGTTTAGACAGAAAAATGTATTCAAATGGATGTAAGAGAAAAGTTATGGAAAATCTGTATACTAAACTAAGTAAGATATGACGAACTGACATTTCTGAAAATATATCTGATTTACAAACCGTCACTACCGATGATATATCACTAGTTCGACAAAATATTTATGACGTTCGTTTCCAAAATGGTGCAACCATTGCCAAAAACAATGGAAGAATTGCAAAAGAGTATATAGGTAAGCAATATGGATTTGAAAACGGACCTCAATGAGCAATTTCTATTAATCAACTATCCGAACTGTCATAAAATAATATTTTCATGTGATACAAATTTAAAAGTTTTATGCCAATCTGAAATTATATATATGGATGGAACTTTTGAATACTGTCCAAAGTTATTCACGCAATTGTTTACTTATTTAATATACACGGAGTTCGTTTTACTTGTATACATTTATTTATAATTATAATATGACTGATATAGTATTAGTGGCACTAATTACAATTTTAATAAGGTGAACAATGGCGCAAATTATAATTTTTGTAGGTACACGATTGCGCAGATTACACATGCCTTTTTATTTAGTTTTATTTGGCGCAAATTACAAACTTAAAAAGTGGAGCAAATAACCAAAATACAATTTTAGATGTGGGGCAAATGACGTATTTATTTTTATTTTTGGGTTGTTTTTTCCGCAAGTTACATACGCCCGATGTCTTGATTGAACTAAAAAAAAAAAATTACAAATTCATCTCCCGTTGAAATGGTCGCTAATGATAGTATATAGTGGCTCATACTCATGTACCTATGGCAGTCAACATTATACTTTCGCAGTCCAGCCATATATCTATTATTATTGCAGGTATAGGTACCTACCCTTAATTTATTATTATCTATACCTACCTAGGTACTGTACAATGTTTAAGGTATAAAATAAAATATTAGGCCACCAATAATAGTTGATATTAAACTTGATCGCATGATGGAGTTGCAATATTATAATATGTATACTTAGGTACCTTTATGGCTATATACTATATAGATATCTCATTACCACAGTTATCTACGGATTTTTTTGAAAATGTTGGTGTACCAAATTCAAAATTTGAACGTGTATAGTTTCTTAGTTGTTAAAATGTTTGTACTATAAGGATAATATAGGCATAATTAGCCCTTAAAAATAGATCCAATACTAGATGTAGTGTTATTACACTTGGACCATTTTTACAAATAATTATTCATGGTGATTGATTATTATTAATCACTAAAATTTTCAAATCACCAAGCCCTCATAATTTTGAAACCCATTATATCATTGACCTATTATCCTAAGTATACGCATAGTTAAATAACTCGAAAACTACTCGTTCAAATTTTGAATTTTGTATTTACAATTTTTCAGAAAAATGTTTTGCTAAATAATTTACAACAGACAAGGGTGGATTTTCTTTGAAAAACAGAAGTTATTACCATTATTACAACTCTTTAACAGTTTGTTAGCTCAATATTTGTTTTTTTTCGAGGACTCACGTGCAACATAGATAAAACTATTAAATAATGCACTCTTATAAATTATACCAAGCTTGGATCATACATGTGTACATGAACCCATGTAATGTATTGCACTTCTATATTGTGCCTATATATATCATATATGTATTAAATCTTTCATTGCAGATTATGAATAATCGAATAATCATTTGAAACAATTGGTATAGCAATATGCGCCTACCTATAATGTACATAGGTAATATATTAGGTATAATGTATATATTATACGATATTATAGGCACCTACCTATAAGTACTTACTTAATACATTTAAACATGAATTTACATGAGTATATATATCATCTAAGAATGATAGCTGGTTTACAATTCACCGTAAAAAAAAATGTAAAGAGCTGGGTTTAAAATTATCGAATTAAATAAATCACGAAACATAATAATGATGAACTTTTCAGTAAGTGAATACTTTTCATAATGTAAATATATATAATGGTACACGTATATGAGCATACAACAATAATTCTTCGTAACTTTCAGTCTACATACATATGTACGAAAGTCAAGAGACTACTTAAATTTATAAAATATAAATATATATATATCATGTGCAAACATATATAGTTATACAATAAATGTATACCTACTTATCTGTATAATATGTCCGAGATCAACCGCTGCTGCTGATATCGTCTATATATATACGGTTTTTTGTGGTCAACTGTGTGACAAATGGATTCCTCCCGAACAAACATAAAAATCACGGTGCAACAAAATTGAGGATAATCAATTTTATCGTCGTCGAAACAGTATAATATCACAATATATAATAAATATTTTATAAATAAATACAACAGGGTACAATATATGATATTTTATTAGAGGAGTAGAAAACAGCATACGCATCGCATATAGAATTGAGAATAACAGTATTATATTCTATATAATATACGTTTTATGTACTCGTGTGTACCTACATGTAAATAGTGTATGACATATATAATATAATATAGACTTTAGTCCATAGTATATAATGTATGTACACTTACCGGAAAAGTAAATTAACGATTTTGAATCGGTAACGGGTTAAAAAGTTTGTCGGACTGACAGGTGGCGGCATCTGACGACGTGCCGCCGTCTCCGGTTGACGGATAGGTATATATACATACCTGCTAGTATATATATACACCTAACCTGTGTATATGTATATTATATAATATAACGTCGCTGGCGCGCGCGCGCTCGTGTATGTGCGTATGTCATGATGGCCGAGACGGCCGGTCTCATTAAGTGGGAGGCGCCATATTATGGCCATTTCCATACACCTTCCACGTGTACACACACACACACACACACACACACACTCGAGTCAAATAAAATAATAATAATAATAATGAGAAAAAAATAGTAGAGAGAGAAAAAATACGCATATATATATACACACACACGGACACAGAAAAACACAAACACACGGACACACACGCGCGCGGAATGAACCCACGTACGTATATCGTATACGTAATAACGCTGAAATTATCGAGGGGAAGATAATTGTCGCCCGGCGGAAACCACCGCTGCCGCCGCACACACACACACACACACACACACACACACACACACACTCGCTGTGCACAGAAAAACCTGACAAGTCGTCGCAGCGTTGTGTCGGTGGTGGGATACACGCGCTGTACGCCGCACGAACGCGAGTAGGGAAGAAAGGAAAAAAATTATATACCGACGAAAAACGAAAAAAGAGTAAAGCTAATAATATTTTCATTAGTGCGAACATGGTTTGCTCGTGTTTCGTCCGGCCGCGGTGGATGCGGGAAAACGCACGGAAATGTGATGAATAAAAATAAAACGTCGTCCGCGCATTTTCGTCTTTGCCGCCGTCCGTCGGCCGCGCAGGTACCACAATATAATATTATAATATATTAATATATCATATACAATACACAAGCACACACACACACACTCACAGTTCACACACACTCACTCACACACACACACACACACACGAAAACGAGCAATATTAATCGTTTGTATACACATCTCTCTCACTCTCTCTCTCTCAAACACATACGCATTCGTTCGTTTATCGTATCGTGCATAAATAATCTACACATGTGCGCGTGGGCGAGTGGCGAGCCGCAGCAGAGTGCGCGTGTGGGTTATGGAAGAAAATGACCGGCGGAACCGAGCGGACAGTCTGCAGCAGCAAGAAACGACCGCAGAACTCGGGCATCACAAGAACGACGACCGCGACGGAGCGACGACCATCATGAGCGTAAGTCCGACCTATACGCTTTTAATAGTCATTGTTTAAAAAAAAAAAATATATATATATTACGATAACATATATATAGGTCCCTGTAGAGCAATATACCGAAATGTAATAATATATTACTATAGATGTATAGTTGTACTACAAACGCGCGTAACAGACGAGTAGTCGGTAACGGGTTTTTCCGCATTTTCTGCAAAAGTTCTCGGGATACGCGGGACGTGTTTTTTCCCCGTCGAATGTTTTTCAAATAAAAAATGCCCGCCCCGGTGGTCATAGCAGTCAACCAACATGCACAGTCCCTCCGTCGTTTCTCCGTGCCGAGGGAAACTATAATGTTTAACGATCCAACTGTACCTACACATCCACAGCAAGTATCGAACCCCGACGATATCGCAAAGGCGTATGACATGTCGTCCGAGGCATCGCAGACCATTTTTGGGCGCAATCGCCGCGTTTCGTCGGAAAGTTCGTTCCGTTCGGCTCGTATTATATTCGCCCGAAATAAACACATCGCGATGCGTACAGACGATACAAATGTGTGCGCGACGATATATCACCGTGTCGCCATTTATGTTTATGATATTATATTACGTTGTTGTATCTATACGTACGAGCATGATGTCCGTTATGGAAAACAGATGTTTTGTCACGTCGCGCGTGTTTAAATTGAGATGAATGCGTGTGCGTTGTCTATCGTGCGGGGACGCGCACCGAAAGGATATCGCAGGTGTGTGAAATCGTTACGAATCCCGGGGTTGTTTTTTTATTTTTCACAACATCAGAAATAAATTGATTGATCGACAATAACGGTGTATATAATAGAAAGAGCAGCCGTATAATGATTAGACGCCCGTTCGCCCATAACAAGCGCGTAACTTGGACGTATATCGAAGGTGTCGAGTCATCTGGTTAACAAACTCGATAATAATAACATCTTCATTGTCGGACTCTTTGGCGTATCTGTGTAGATTCGTATATATATGGGTACGATAGACCATAACAATAATCATGTATAAAATGTAGGTACCTAACTCCTATATTGTACATATAATACAAATATAATTGAATCATTATTTATGGTAGTCGCATGTTTTTAAATATTATATTATATTATATTATAGTATAACCTACATTTGTGGCGTAGGAATATAAGAACAATTCGATTATTTGTTGAGTGATTATTAATATTATGTAATAGTTTATGTTATTCAAAAGTGTGCAATGTTTAATGCAATCTTCGTAAATGCTTTCAAATAATAATGCAAAATAACTATTTTCACTTTTTTTTGGTACACCACAAAAAAAAATATACTCATAATCTTATAATAAATACTTATAGATAAATCCATACAAACATTATTAAAAATGTGCTTTATTTAGTGAAATTTATTGTCTAAAACTAATAGGTATTAGGTAATAATTGTTTTAATAATTTACTTACATTAGTATATATATTATTAACATTATTAATTTTGGTCCTTAAAAAAATGAAAATGAAATGTAATCATATGATTTTAGAATACAACTGTAGAGTCTTACGTTATTGATTTGATTTTACAACAACAAATAAATTAAAACTAATGAAGTAATGAATATAGGTATAATATAAGAGTATAATGAATTTAGTTACCTATATAATATAGGTATTTCACTAAATACTTATAAGTTATAAGTAATAGCAATATAATATAATTTATTAACTGAATGCATGTTTACAACAAAGTTTGATATACATTTATTATGTTTTTAATTTCATATTCTTTTAACTAAGATAAATAATGTCTTTTTTATTTAATTTGGTGGATTATCGACCCGGAGAGATACTTGTATGCTTAACTTAAAATAAGCTGTAATTTTTAATATTTTTTTGTTTCAAAATTAAATTTTAGTCATAACTTTATTTTTATTACAGTTTATCATGAACAACTAAAAACATTTAGTAGAATAGACAAAACTGTTGATGATTAATTCCATAAGTATATTATCATAATTTTTCATTTTAAGAAAATGTTAAATGCATAATACCTATTTTATGTAAGAAAATGTCTCTTCAAACTAAAAATTTGACCATGACACTATTTTCCTTATAAAACATTTTTAAGTTAGTAATAATTTTAGAACACCTGGGTCGATAAAAAGAAAACAATTTTGTATAGTATATTCACGATTAAAAAATAAAAATATAATATATTATAAGCAATAAACATAGTAAAATATTGTTCATAAATAATAACTATAGTTACAATTATCATACAACTGTTACAAGTACCTAATCTAATAAACTTACACAACTGTATATTATACAAACACAATTTGTTTACTGTATTAAATCGAGTGTGTTTTAATTAAACTTTTAATAATATTTTATTATAAGATATTATATATTCATATACGCATACCTAATACACAACAATTAACTGCGATGGTTAAGTTTAGCTCTGTATATCTACATCGTGACAGTACGGTGTTATCACCTGAATAATTATTACACAATCGTACTTTATAAGACGAATGTTAAAAATGACATATTAAAAATTGAAAATTAAGTAAGAAATTATACTGATTACAGATACTTGATATATCTATACTCTGTTGAGATTCGAGACTGATGAATATCAAGTTACACATATACTTCATGAATATATTATGTGTATAATTGAACAGTGTTTGATACATATATTACATCAGGTTTTTTACTAATTGTCTTCGTGTCGTTTTCTCGTTTGAAAGTTAAGTACAAATTCAATAAATAAATAATAATAATAATTTAAATTGGATTAAGGTTTTCTATGTATTAAACGCGTATATATACATTACACATTCAGTCAATTGAATAAATCGAACACGCCGTATTTTCTAATTTGTGTCTTCGTATTATACAACCATGACAAATCTCGGGGCGTTTTTCGATCAGAAAATACCACCCACTTCGTGTGCATGTGCGTTCAACCAGATTATATTCCCGTAATCAAATAATATTTGGGACCTCTCCGTACATTTAGCGATCTCCCCCCGCTGCAACAACATCGGCTCTACACATTTGGGCGTTAAAAATTATGTCAGAAACTAATGTCATAACTTAACTTAAAGGGCTATAGTACTCGTATTATACTTGATTTGTGGTAGTTATAATTTTATAAACGCATATAACGTCTAATTATTTCGATTCTCATTTTATAACCCTCTATACTAGAGTATATGTTTTAAATAAATAAACAATATTAAAACTAAATATGCATATATCATATATGATATTATATCTACACTTAATATTTTATTAGTTATTATTGTTCTGTTAGTCTATTTAGACCTTAATTATTTAACACTTGAGGTTATGGTAAATTTATACACAAATATTATTCTACTGTCTGATAATTCACATTAAAAAATGTAATGTTATTTTAAATATAATATTATATTATTATATGCAATAGAAAATGTTCTGCAGATTATCATTGGATATGTAATATCTACGTGTTATCTTATTATGATATTTTTTCATCATATGATATTTGATTTTTTATTTAATTGAAAGTAGAGGTTCTTGCGTCTTTGGTTGAGAAATAATCGTTATATTTGTTAGCATATCTGAAAATGTACAAAATACCTACTATATAAGGATTCGGATATCAATATCACCATTGTAATTATTTTTTTTCAAATTGTATTTGATTATCTTTTGTATAACATAAATAACATATTGCTTAAGTTTGTAAAAATTATTAAAAAATAAAATTAAAAATCAATGGGTACACAATAAAGTTTCAGTATAGTTTGCATCATAGACCACAAATTATGTTCTTATAAAGAATTTAATATATTAGGTATATTATATAGTAAGAAAAATCGTAAACGTCTGCCAAAATGTATAAATGATGTGCATTTATATAATATAATATATACCTATACTAATCTACAAGTTGACTACAATAAAATAAAACTATTTACTATCTGGTATATTACTATTTCTCATACAAATATAATGTATATACGGTAATGGCTATGACACACGCTGTGACTTAAGTGGCACTAAAACTAAAAATACAAAAAAAAAATGGCAACAATATTTTCTTGATGTGCATAACCTTATAATATAGTAATAATATTTCATATATAATATAAACGTGTGAAATACATGTAGGTACTTATCTAATATACATAATATAACACTGCTGCGCAAAGTCTGTGCAGTCGGTAAATATTATATACCAAAGTTGGGCTCAGCTATGTGTTATGTACTGCGTGATTCACCAACCTAGCTCACCCCCATTTTTTAATTAACATGTCTCTGGTCACAGGTCTGGGAGATATGTGGGCATGGGCATGAGCATGGGGATTTGATGATTTGAAAATTATGTCTACTATAATACCTAATCAACAATAATATCATCATTTTATAATTTATGAAAATTGTCTGAGTATAATATAATAGCTACTAGAGTACTAGATTCAATATTAATCAGATATCTCATAATTTTGTACAATCATTTTTAAGGATTGCCCTTGGTGTATTTATACATTTAACTTAGAAACTTCTAGTTCGAATCGTAATTCAGAGTTGTAATGAACATTGACATTAAAAAAAAGTCAATTGCTTAACATAATCTACTAAAAGAAGTTAGTATCAGCTATACATACGAATCTAAGTACCTATTTGAAAATATGGTCCTTAAAAGCTTGCTTAAAAATCCCAAAGTAGAATTTGAATAAATCCAATAGAACAAAATGGTATGGAGCATCCTTATTCACTGTGTTTATAGTATAGCCATTTCGTTTACACCTGGTTAAAAAATATCTAAATCAAAAATCGCATTTCGAAATCGATATCGTATAATATACCGTTGCCTGTATAGATCCATGTTGAAATCTTTAGACGCGTAATAAATATACACGTCAGTATAGGTACCTATAGCGGAATCTGGTACCTTTGTAAACCACGTGATTCTTCAGCGATACACAATATACGTAGGCATATATACCTACATAAATACGTACCTGTG